TTTTACTATATTCTTCAGCGCCTAAAATTATGTCAATTGGACCTTGTTTATAATAAGTTGGATCAGCAATTATTTTGTTTTCTATTTTTTGTGGGTCCAGTTTTTGCACGTTTTCTTTAGGCACTGATGACGTCAGTTTCGGTAATACGATCAGCGATGTTGATAACTTGTATTCACTTGGAAACCTTGGTTGAAGTGTGACGTCTATCATATAGTTGGAGGTCTTTGGAATGTTGTCTGCAATACCATTAATTTCGGCTTTTATCTTTTGTTTCGGGAACCCTAAGAGTTGAGCCACCTCTTCCGTGCATAGTGAGGCTTCCGATCCTTGGTCACATAAAACTCGCAGTAATAATGGTGTGCCGTCGAATGTTTTTGACTGTACTAAGGCTGTGGCTAGAAGTATAGTTTTGTGACTGTTATGGCGTTGCGTAGCTGCATGAGTCATAATTTTTTTCTTTTCTGTTATTTGAGACTTGTGATCGTATGTCGTTGATGTACCGGGTTTTGTTACTTGGTTAGTATTTTTGGTGATACTATTTTGCCCTTGTTGTTTTGCTAATAAATATTCATTTGTGTTTCTGTGCAATAGTGTAGAATGTGCCTTATTGCATATTTCACAATGTTTGTACTTATTGCTGATGCACTCTTTTTTTGCATCGTGCATGAGACATACATAACACATTTGTTTTTCTTGCACTTTACGAATGCGGTCATTGACAAGTAATGCCTTAAATGCTTGACAATAATGAATATTATGGTCTTTTTGACAGTACCAACAGAGTCCTTTTTTTTCTTGCCAATTAGTTTTTCCTTGCATATTTGGTGAGTATGTCGAATGCAAATCGTTTGTTGTTGTCATATTGGCGCTTGATTCTAAACTTTTGAAGCGTTTTTCTAAGAACTTCATTAATTCTTTAAAATCTTGTAACTTGTTTGGCTCCTGTAATTGGTCTTCATATCTCATGTTGGTGTCAGGGTCCCACTTACGATTTACCATTCTGGTTAAAATTGGGCTCCATGTTGATATATTAATATTTTGAGTTTTTAACGCTTCCAGGCTTTCGTTTATGCAGTCATGCATATTACGTAGCATTTTGGCGTTTGGAGTCTGAATTTTGGGCAGGTCTATTAATTTATCAATGAATGTCTGTGTTATTTTTCTTTCGTCTTTGTATCGGTTTTCTAACAGTGTAAGCGCTGCTTTATAGTTGACCTCGTTTACTGTCAAATGCTTTATCAGCTTCTCCGCGTCACCTCGGACATGCGTTTTTAAGTATTGCATTTTTTCTGTTGTGGAAATAGTACAGTTTTCGTCAATAATTTTCTTAAATAGATCATAGAATGAATTCCATGACTCGTAATTCCCAGCGAACGAAGGAATGTTAATTCTTGGTAACTTAGTAGGGTGATTTCTGCTCGTTTGTACTGTTTTGTCGTTGATTTGCTCATGTAAGTCTTGTATTATTTCCTCGAATTGTTCTTGTGCGTCTGTAAAGCAATCATTATTGAAGTATTCGTCGTCGATTGTACTTTGCTCCATTAGTAATTGTATGTGTGTTTCTTCTATATCTTGAAACAGTTTTTCTAGATTATTAATCAGAGCTTGTAGTTGCCACGCTGGTTTTTGTTGGACAACGGCGGTCTTTGCAGTCTCAATTTTCTTCTTAAGTTGGTTTAGTCTGTACTTTTGAACGAATAACTTTGGCGAAATAGTCATGTCTTCTTGTTTATCATCGTTTATTTTAATGTCGCTGACTTTTTTAGTCTGATGTAGCTTGTCTTCACATTCTTTCAAGTGATCTATAACTGCATCATACATGGTTTGTATATGAGTGTCGAAATAATTAAGTGTCAAATATTTGTGAGTCGATAGAATCTCTTGGTCTTGTAGAAGTCTATGGTTCTGCGATGCTCTTTCATACACGCTGTTCAATTTTGCTCTTCTTTCTGTTATGTATTTTTGATTTTTTTTTGATGATGAGTCCTTTTTAATGTTATCCCATGTTCTTTTTAATTCAATATAGTCGTTTTCCTGGCTTTTGATGAGTTCGTTGATTCTAATAATGTCCATTGTCTCCCGATTTCTTCTTTATCAATCTTCTTTCTTGAGCGTCCCTAGTCCCTACCCTTTTCCTAACCCAGCTACCCTATTTGTACTTGCCTCTCCCACACTCTCGGCTCGGTATTTATGCGCCTTCTCAATGAACTGGTGAGATCCGCTTGTGGAAGGCCAGTCACCGAATCGCTACCGACGAGAGATGTCTACAGGATATAGCAACGTACAGTATCTATCTGTCTCAGAGTGCCACAAACTGATGCGGTTTTAGTACACCAGCCTGTATCTTCTGAAACGTGTCTGTCTGTCTGTCTATGTCATAGTCCTAGGGGGGACAGATAGGGCCGCGGATTCAAAATGCTCGAAGGACCAAATGTACATTCAGGGATCTAAATGTACAGTGAAGGGGGTTGACTGTAGCCTATCAACAATCTTACCTGCACCTAACAACCTAACAACAATCCTATTTGCACCTAACAACCTACCAACAATCCTATTTCACCTAACAACCTAACAACAATCCTATTTGCACCTAACAACCTAGCCCTAACCATATAGGTACAATATATACTTATATATATAGTGCGGGATGCCTGTTACCATGAGACCTAAGGCAACAGACGGACGGTGGGAAGGATGAAAGGTGTATAGGAAGGGATTTTCTCACTGCCGATCCGCAGCCTCACGGACCGACCAATAACAAAGGCTGAGTGATGCCAGAGCTATCGGTAACTATTTATAGGCGCAGTAACAGTGAGAGGAGTCGATGGTCTCGTCGAATGAAACAGCGTTGCTCGAAGCGTAGAAAGAGAATTTATTAAAGATTTACATGCTATTTATATTAATATATTTACATGTATAGGTGTATTACTTATACGAATGCATTTGTGTGAAACCGCGTAGATCAACACTGTTGCGACACATAACTACGATTGAGGTTGATTCTGGTTCATCGCGGTCACTGCCCTGCTGCGTCGGCATGTTCACATCCTCGCGTGAACAACCCCATTGTAGAAAATTCACTTAACGAACGCGTTCCTCTCAAATCGGACGAGGACATTACAGCAGCAGTAGAGATCTTTAACCAATGCGTTCAATCGGCTGCTTGGGATGCCACTCCGCTCAGACGAGCTGTGAATACGATTCCCTTGTATCCGCAAATCGTTACGGATATAATACAAAGAAAACGACGCGCAAGGAAACTGTGGCAACAAACTCGACACTCTAGTGACAAGAAAATACTTAACCATCTAATCAAGCAAGTGAAAAATATACTCTTGACGATAAAAAACAAAAACCTGGAAGATCGTCTGTCTAAAATGGATGCAACATCTGCTACTGATTACTCGCTTTGGAAAGTGACCAAATCTCTGAAAGGACCAATTGAGTTCCAATCACCTTTACGACGGTATGACGGCTCTTGGACTAAAAGCGACACAGACAAATCCACACTATTTGCAGAACACTTGTCTAGAGTGTTTACTCCAAATCCAAGTACGGGTTCAACAAAGGTGGGTGAAGTAATGGAGGCTCTTTCAGCACCGCACCAATTTGCACTCCCAATCAAAAAATTCACTAAAGAAGAGGTTACATCTGTAATCAGGAAACTCAACCTGAATAAAGCGCCTGGTTATGACCTTGTTACATCTAAGGTGATGAAAGAACTCCCTCACAAAGCAATAACCCTATTAACAGCTATTTATAACTCAATCTTAAGATATGAATACGTCCCTGCTCAATGGAAAGTAGCAGAAATTATTGTCATTCCAAAACCCGGGAAGGATCCGGAAAATGTATCATCATATCGACCGATAAGTCTCCTGCCTGTTGCCTCAAAAATAATGGAAATTCTTATCTTAAACTGTCAAACACCAAGCGGTCACCGGTGACCGCAACCTATTGTTCTTTAATTGTGTCTATAAATACGGTACTCGACGAGTTAAAACGACTGACTCCAGAGCTTGCGAAAGCCAAATTAATCCCTACTCATCAGTTTGGCTTTCGCAAAGCTCATGGGACAATTGAACAGGTACATCGTTTGGTTGAAAAGATAAACCATGCCTTTGAAAACCAGAAATACTGCTCAGCGGCATTCTTAGACATATCGCAAGCCTTCGATCGTGTGTGGCACGAGGGACTCTTATTTAAAATCCTACAAGCCTTACCAATCAACTTCTATCTCATCATCAAATCATACCTCCAACAACGACATTTCTATGTAAAACATGGAGAAGCCAGAAGTAATCTTTATAAAATCCAAGCAGGTGTTCCTCAGGGCAGCGTAATGGGTCCTATCTTATACCTAATATATACTTTTGACCTACCAACTTCCGACGACGTCCTCATAGGGACATTTGCTGATGATACTGCTCTTATTGCAGCACACGACTGTCCTGTGGCAGCGTCCGACATGCTGCAAAAAAGCCTTAATGACGTTTCGGCCTGGTTAAAGGATTGGAGAATAAAAGCTAATGAATCCAAATCTGTTCACGTAACTTTCACTCTCAGACATGCATCATGTCCCCCAGTTGTTTTCAATAGCATAACAATTCCTCAGTTGGACGACGTGCGATACTTGAGAATATACTTGGACAGACGATTAACTTGGAAGAAACATATATTCACCAAAAGGAAAGCCACATCACACCCAGACTGGAAATAACAATTTGTGGATCACACAAATAGTTGTATGTTGGAATGAGACGCGCTACATGTTATATAGCAGCTGAGTGGTTTTTTCTTGCACATTAGCTACACTGGTGGTTCCAATATTATCATATATGTACAATAGTAAAATAGAAAAAGGTATAAGTTTAATGTAATTTTATCATTGTTATGTTTCTCACATAGGAACTAAGAACCCATTAGTGGTCCTCTTGTACTAACTCCCCTTTAAAGCCGCAATGAGCTGGCGGTTACATGAAAGAGAGTTTGGTTGCAGGATGGTGGGCGACGGGCGCGGAGGTGACGAACCACTCGTCGGTGATCCACGAGTACTACTCGCGCGAGTGCCGCGAGCCCGTGCACGTGACGCTGGACACGTCGCTGCAGGGCGCGCGCATGGGGCTGCGCGCCTACGTCTGCGTGGCGCTGGGCGTGCCGCGCGGGAAGCAGGGCTGCATGTTCACGCCCATCGATGTCGGCCTCACTTGCTACGAGCCAGAGGTGCTATTATCATTATTATTATATGAAACTATTGTTCATTGCCTCCTAGTCGACCGGTCAGTACCTCAGAGCTTCAGACCAAAAGTAACCAGTTTTAATAAAATGTATCAAACTTCAAGTTTTGTTGTTCAAGAAATATTTGGAATGCATTCAAATTACGATAAGTAAGAACCCGGTGTAACCTTGCAGATCGTAGGCCTGAACTTGTGTCAGAAGACGACGGGCGCGGGCGGGCGGTCCCGGCAGGTGGCGCCGATGCTGGACCTGGCGCAGGTGTCGGAGGCGGCGGCGGCGCTGTCGGGGCTGCTGGAGCAGGTGCTGGCGCACGTGGAGGACGTGCTGGCGGAGCGCGCGGCGCCCAACAACGCGGCCGGCCGCGAGCTGCTGGAGCTCGTCAACTCCGTGCCCAACCTCGCCGCCGACACATTCGCGGACGCCTTCGCCTCCAGCGTCAAAGATCTACTCATGGTGACGCCTCCTTTTTTCTTTCTCACTATTGCCTCGAAAGTACATTTATTTCGAATACGCCGAGAAGATACATTTAAAAGTTATGCTATTACCTAAATTATCTTAATCCTAAACATCTGGATCGGTCTAGGTCTTTGACAGAAATGAATAGACATAGTTTCGTAAGTGATTGATTTCGGCCATAAGTGGACATTAGAACTACATAATTACTCTGAAAATGCAATTATGGAGTTATTTAATGGTGTGCGTTACCAGGCCAGACATCATCTAGACAACTAATTTTATAGCTAGTAATTATTGAAATATTTCCATTAGAAAGAAAAAGGTCTGGCTGGGGTAACGTTACCCCAGCAGGAAATGTTTTTGTGAAATAATCAACAAATTATAAGCGCAACAAATTCAAAAATGTGCGCAACAATTACAGAAGCCGTACAACTAATTATCTATAAGATTCAAATGACCATTTTCGACCACATCTGGCCTGGTAATGCACACTATTTAATGTATTTGAAGTCCTTAATCTGACCTAACTATCGGAAATAGTCCTGTGTCTAATTCGTCAGACCAGTTTATTTTTTTGTACCAGAATGATGATGTCCTTTATTTAATAAGGAACGAAATAGAGGTTGATTATTTTTGCTATCAACCAATCAAATTCCAAGCTAGCATGGACCATGTCCCCAGTACGTAGTGGTATATCTCGTCCGTGCGCAGGTGGTGACGCTGGCGCAGCTCATCAAGACGCAGCTGCAGCTCAACGAGAAGCTGACGCTGCTGACCTCGCAGTGAGACCGGCACCGACACCTGCCCCACTAACATCTACATATTATTATAACTGTTCAATAAATTAATAAACTCTCACTAGATATTTTTATTATGCATGAAATTTGAAAGTTATGCCTAATCTGGCTTAGGAATCTTTTCTTGTAAGTCGGAATATAATCAAGTGCCTCCTCCCGCCCTGCGGAGACTGCAACTAAATCAGCCTGATCAACGTCTGTAAATAAAACAGCTAGTTTCTGCCAGCGACATCCACAAAAATTACCTGTGTCTTGTTACTAGACATGGAATTATATGGATTCGCATCTTAGCACATGCATTTTTTGGTCATTTTCATGAACAGTGCTTATTTTAGTAGTTATTATGTATGTACATATGTACTAAGTAACAAACGTTACAAGTTTTCAGTAGAAAACCTGGAAAAATATATTATTGTTTACTGTCACATAACATCACGCTTTTTACCCTCAAAGGAGTAGACAGAGGTGCACATTACGGCACTGTACAATGTAACCCGAAGGGGTAGGCAGAGGTGCACACAAAAGTAATACCCACTTTTCACTATTTATGTTATGAGTCCCATGTAATAGGGGGTGAGCCTATTGCCATATTCCGGGCACATTTACAGACTCCGTGCTACTACTGAGATTTTTTAAAACCTTGTAATACTTTGCCCGACCCGGGAATCGAACCCCTTGCCCGGCAGTCGCACTTGCGACCACTCGGCCAACGAGGCAGTTGTTTGCAACCATGGAAAGGATAATAGGTTTCACCACCCTCGAAAACCATTAAAGCTAAACCCATGACGAAAAGTTGACATTTCGAGCAGCGGCAGATTTCGACTCAGCCGTATTCATTTCAACTAGTCGTCCAGACGGGATTTTCCGCGACGTCACCCCGCTCACCGCTAAGATTGCAGTCTCGTGGCTGGGCCGTTAGATAAGAAAGAAAGAAAGACAACATTCAGCACCAGCCATGATGCAGCATAAGTAAAAGTAAAGTTAACAAAATAAAACAGAATCAGAAAAGAGACGCTGACAACATGGCTAGATGCTAAATGGGTTACCCATTCAGTGTAAACCAGGCATACGAGTCACATAGCACTGATTTCCAGAGGAGTATAGATCGTATTTATCACTTGACTATGCACTTGATATACACAAAGACTTAGCAATTACATAGGTTGATATGTTTATTGGCCAGTCATTATGAATAATATTGAACATTTCGAAAATGTACGAAATTAAGTTTTTTACCTTGATACGATGCGTATATGTACCAAGTTTCATTACAATCGGGTAGTTTTGACTTGAAAGATTGCACAAAAGCCCTGACGCCGTGTAGAAGCGTCTATCGTCAATAAAAGGCAAACATCTTTGCAAAGAGTAATATTATCTGAAATAATGATCATGTCAGGGGTAGGGCAGCAGCGCCTGCGCGGCGTGACAGCGCGCCAGCCACGCCGCGCCGCGCGCGTCCAGCTCGTACTGCGCGCCGTCCGTCGCGTCGTCCGTCGCGCCGTCGGCCAGTACGTCGCCGCCGTAGGCGCGCACGTACCGCGCCAGGCGGGCCGCGGCGGCGGCGCTGGCGGCGCGCAGACTGAAGGTGCAGCCGTCCAGGAAGGCGGGCAGCGCGCCGGCGGGCGGGCGCGGCGCGGCGGGCGCGGGCGCGGCCTCGTCCTCCGTGGCCTGTCCGTCGCTGTCGCTACCGTCTCGCAACTCCACCTCGTTGTTCGTGCTCGCCTCCGTTCGCCGCTTCTTTTGATCTCGTAGCACTTTTTCGATTTCGTCGTCAGTGTCGCGCTCTACAAAAATCCAATCTTTATCGAAATGTCTCATAAATTTCTTTCTCGATAAATGGACTTTGAAACCCACAACAAAGAGAATTATAAAATCAACCTAGTTGTTCCTTAGATTAGCGCATTCAAACGAACTCTTCATGGATTTTAAGTCATTTATAGTACGAAGGTCGAACTTTAGACGAAAGAAACCATTAAAGCACTTGATAGTAAGTAGAAGTTACCCGAGTCGTCGGGCTCGGAGTCCGGCGGCGTGACGCGTCGCTCGGGCTCGGTGGCGTACCACTGCCACGGCAGCAGGCGGCGCCGCGCGAGGCACGCGTCCAGCCACTCCGCGCGCGCCACGGGCACGGCCCGCCCGGCGGCCCGCGCCGCGCGGAGCTTGGGGGTGTTGGGGAACGCGCAGCTGGGGGTAATAACGAACATTAAATGTTATGTCATATGATATATTTTTCATAACGTCAATACAAAAGCGCGCTTACACCTTTTTTGTATTGTTTCTAAAGCAAAAAACAGCGTGCCGTGTCCGTCCGTCCGTGTGCGTGCAGGCGGGCCCCCAGGCGGGCTGCAGGCGCGCGCCCAGCGCCAGCGCGGCGCGGCGGACGGCGGTGTCCGTCCCGAGAGTGGCGCCAGTACTCACATGAGGTGCGTGCAGGCGGGCCCCCAGGCGGGCTGCAGGCGCACGGCGGTGTCCGTCCCGAGAGTGGCGCCAGTACTCACATGAGGTGCGTGCAGGCGGGCCCCCAGGCGGGCTGCAGGCGCACGGCGGTGTCCGTCCCGAGAGTGGCGCCAGTACTCACATGAGGTGCGTGCAGGCGGGCCCCCAGGCGGGCTGCAGGCGCACGGCGGTGTCCGTCCCGAGAGTGGCGCCAGTACTCACATGAGGTGCGTGCAGGCGGGCCCCCAGGCGGGCTGCAGGCGCACGGCGGTGTCCGTCCCGAGAGTGGCGCCAGTACTCACATGAGGTGCGTGCAGGCGGGCCCCCAGGCGGGCTGCAGGCGCGCGCCCAGGGCCAGCGCGGCGCGGCGGACGGCGGCGCGGCGCGGGTTCTCGTACCCGCTGAGCACCAGGGTGGCGCCGCGCAGTAAGCACTCTGCGCACAGCACCAACGTCACTCTCGCGTCGCTACTTACAAACTTTGGGTCGTGGAGGTACGCCCCATGCCATTCATGTAAATATATCTACAGTACTCGCTTATGTGTGTAGCTATATTACACGATTCCCATACATAGAGTTAGATAAGTTCAAGCTTCTTTGTGCGTACTGCTACGGAGTGGAATTCTTTGCCAGAGTCTATTTCCTAAAGGGCATAACCTGGGTGTCTTCAAGGCCCGAGTGAATACGTTGCTTATAGAATGACGTGCTCCACCGTAGATCGCATCATTGGTTACAGGCGAGATAGTGGACAAAAGTCGGCCCATCAAATATATATATAATATGTTATAGCCAAAGTGATTAATTGAATATTACCTCGTAATGACTCGTTATACATAATAACCAAATTGCTTATTCAATGTAATAAATTAATTAATTTAACCAGATATTATAAATATTAGCAGGCTCAAGTTAACTAAAGTGATAAAAACTGTCTAACGGCCCAGTCACGAGTGCGGTCTTAGTGGTGGCGTCGTTGAAAATCACGACTGGACGACTAAACAAAATTGACATTTTGCGTCATGGGTGTCGTTTTCATCACACTCGAAAACTATGGAAACGACACTCATGACGATAAATTGAAAATTTTGCACAGCCGTCATCTTGTATTTACATTTTGACAGTATAATTCATTTCACCACCCTCGAAAACCATGAATACGACCACCCATGACAACTTAATGTAAAACGTCTCGGATCGAAAATACTACTTATTGTAGAATGTCTCACATTGAGAATCAATTTACTTGTTTAAAAAACTTATCAATTATATTTGAAGGTGTGTAAAGATTTTGTTTCTATGTAGAAATTATGTCTCTAGAGATGCTTTTGTAAGGAGTGGCTTGCGACATTAACAAATATAGCAACAACACAAGGTACGCCACCACCCTACATCATAGACTGACCAACCTGTCGGTACAGACGGTCGCTCCCGATTCTCGGAGCGCACTCGTTTCTTTGTTTCTAACTGTCTGTTTTGGTCCGTTGATGACTTCGCGCTGTCTAGGTTTCGTTTCGCTGAGCTACTTGTCTCTGCGGGTGCACTTGTCTGTGCAGTTTGGCGGGGAGGGGCCCCTTCGTCCGGTCGGGGCCCAGACTGGCGGACCTGCACGTCCGGTTGGGGCCCAGGCTGGCGGACCTGCACGTCCGGTCGCCGCGATGCAGTAGCTTTGTTGTCATTGCAGCTACCACTCGGTTTAACAATTGGATTCTTTATAAGTTTCGTTGAAAAGTCAGATATATTTTTGAGAGCTTGTGATGTTGCTTGCCTTATTTGAGCACCTGAAAATACGAAAATAGTAATTAACACTCCAGGTGATCAAACATATATTTTTCTGTATCTGGGACTGGTGGTCTTAATTAATTGAAAAACGCAGGTTACTCACTTGAAAAGTAAAGAGAAAAGCTCTAACAATGGCGGAAGTCCTTTACGGAGGTGCTCGTTTTACCGGTAAACAGTTGCAGTATAGTAGACAAATGATTCGACAGGTTGTAGGTAGGTGTGTCTATTTGATGGATTAGGTCTTAGGGGCCAGTTTGGTTTGTGGATTTTGGACAACCTGTATGTCATTCATACGGTGTCATATGGTGGTGTTGAACTCACTAGCCACGCCTAGTAGCATGAGTTTCACGATAGTTATTATAAAAACACTGGTGGTCTTTTTGGGTTGCAACTGAAGGCTTGGAGGATGGAGCCTCCTAAAGCAAAACTAGAAGCAATATTAAGACAATATCTACTAAAAATTTTCTCTCCCAATTAATATTTAGGTATTTGAAAAAAATTGAAATATTAATTTTCTAATACGGAGATAACAACTGGTTGTTTGTATATAATAGCTAACATACCAGTATTACTGGGAGGTGTGATGTCCTCAGCGTTTGTTTTCTGAAGGTGTTTAGCAAATAGCTCGCCTGGCTTGAAATCATCCTCATCTGAAGAAAAGGTGTCTAGTGCCAGTAGTCGTTGAGGCACGCCGGCTGGGGTGCTGCTCTCAGCCTCGTCTATATGCACGAAAGACAGGCCAAACTAGAAGTGCAATGTGATTATAGTATATTCGGACACAAACACCGCCAAGTGTCGATGGCACTGGAGCCACGCGGCGTACCTGGCGGCGGTCGTGCGGCTGCTGGCAGACGAGGCGCAGGCGGTCCCAGCGGCCTGCGCGCGCGCCCGGCGCCAGCTGCGCGCCCGAGAAGGAGCGCACGCGCGCCAGCTCGGCGCCGCGCCGCGACTCCTCGCGCAGAGCGAACACGCAGCTCGGCACCAGCACCTGCCACTGCAATGTTACTTCCCTCCGTTCTACGCAACTCTATAACCCTTCCAAGTAAACAGCACAAGCCCATGGTGTGTGGAGTCCAATAAATTAATAGATATTTAGTCTGTTGGAAGATTGTAGCAGTATGGCAACTACAACATAACATGTTCACCTGATATTGTTCATTTGTTGATTCTGATCTTCCTACTAATACTTCCACTAAAGCTGCATGGTAGGCTCCTATGTTTAAACTGGATATCTACAAAACAAAAACAGAGAAATATTTAATCAAAAATAAATTAATTTGACTCATCTTATCTTATATCTTATACTATTATATAAAGCAGAAGAGTTTGTTTTTTGTTTGTTTGTTTGAATGCACTTATCTCCGTAACTACAAGTCTGATTTCAATAATTATTTTTGTGTTGGATAGTGCATTTATCGAGGATGCCTATAGGCTATAAAACATCACGCTACGACCAATAGGAGCTGAGCAGAGCGTATGAAACCGCACAGAAGTAGCTAGTTAAAACAATAAATTGTCACACTTTCATTAATTATTGTATGATATACTTAATTTTCATTGTTTTCTATTATTAATTAACAGAGATCGGAGTAGGTAGAGCTGTTTTTGGTACTTGTGACTTGCGGTCACAATATGGATATGCCTTTTCATAAGTGCAGTTTTCATTGTAAGTGTGCAAATATTTCTTATCGTGCGCAAAATAGTGGAACGGGAACGGCAACGTCGCACACTGCGCCCATCCCTCATAGGATCTACGACAAATAATTCTTGGGAATTAAATGTTTCCGACCTCATGTTTGCGTAACAAAAAACTTCTGCAGTACTTAATAAACAAATCCTATGTACATTGTCTATGAAGCTGGGTATGTCAAAGCACTAAGTAATTAAAACATCCCGGAATCCCGGAGTCATATCCATATTAACCTTACATTTGAGGTCATTGACTCCAAATGGCTCTACCTACTCCGATCTCTGTTAATCAAATATTTTCTAGTAGTGTTTAAGAAATAAGTGTGCCAATTTGACACAAACACATGATCTTGTACATATTTACAGATAAATGGTTGGCAGTTTGGCACAGTGGCTGTGTTCCTACACGGAACAATTCTTTGTGTGATCCTCACTTGTGTGTGTGTCTACATCATAAATGTACCGTTGCTACACAACCACTCCCATAGTAGAACCTCATCCTCTAGGTGTTGGTGGTCGTTCTATAATCCTACAAGACATATTATATTCCGATATTTTGCTTTAGTAACAAGTTACATGCATACAAAACATAAATTAAATAAATTTCCAACAGCAGGTCTGATAGCATATGGGCGAGAAAAAAATTCATTAACAAAACAAATCCAACCTTCACAGCTCTTGGTAGCTGCAGCACAACGGAACATGTTCTCTCGCCCTTGGCACACAGCCACTTCTTCTTGCTCACTTCCAAGTTCAGCAGGTTGCTAGCCGGGTGCTCCTGTTGGCAGAACACAAATTATGAAAACAACAAGATAAGAGTCAGTATAATCTTAAGGGATAAAAGAAATACAGGATTTATACATTTTTACGTAAAAGTAAGAATTAAATGAAAGGATAGTCTAAGCATACGTAATACTTACAGGATCTTCACTGCTGAAACTGACTATGTAATCTATTTTTACTCTTGGCATTTTATGTTTATTTTAACTTCGATTCAAGATTCGAAGATTACTGCTATCACACTATCACAGAAGTAGTAGGAAGTCAAAGTAAGAATTCTTATCAGATAGGGTCAAAAACATTGATAAACTCGTTGTAACTTGAAACAAAGTTTACAAACAGAAATTTGGCGGCCACCCGGCTGTTCTTTTCTTTTTTGTCTGACATGACATGACAGTGACGTTCATGACGTTATTGACTTCTCGATATAGTCGGTAAAATCTATGATTGCGTCTGTGTCGTTAAGTCGATGGTAGAACCGATATTCCTAAGGTTGTCAAGACTCTAGAAAATGTTGATAGTAATGATTATTACTTTTCTAATTTTATCAATCCTTAATACAACAATAATTGAGTTTAATTGATTAAAATTGTTCTTACTTGATTCGGCCATAGAGCTAAAAGCCAGTGTCGTAGCCCGATATCCAAAGTTATCTAAAGGAATAAGAGATGGGAGGTTTTCGGATCCTATCACATCACGTCATCAAAAGCCTAAAAGTGTCCACCGCTGACCAAAGGCATCTTCTGACATGGAGAAGTTTTGAGCATTAACACCACACTAGCATAATGTGGGTTGGCTATTTCAAACTAATAATTAAAAATTATAAGCCCTTTGTTTGCTATTTTTTCATTTAGAATTTGTCAGTGGTGTCTCAATAATCTTAGAAAATATAACTCACAAATATTACATTGGTAGGTATTTACTCTTGGTAGGTTTCGAACCCGCCCTCTCAAGCATGAGACGCGGGTGTCTTAAATCTCCAAGGCTGTTGCCCTGTTGTCTCACTGTTGTGTTCGACATAGCGATCACGAGATTTCGGATAAATACTCATAATGGATAAATATACTGACTAACTAAATATTGGGTGTTTATCCACTAACTTAATACAACCCATTTCGCGGCTGACTTGGGACATAAACATGTATCCATCAGTTCCTGCTAATAGGATGAATGACTTGTCACTTGTTTTTGGCGTGAAATAAAGTTTTTTCTTCCTCTTCTTCTTCTTAATATTTTTTGGAATAATAGGTAAACTAAATAGGTATAAAATACACTTCCGGACACTTGAATCGAGCCACCTTGTTTTTTTTGGTTTGGAGAACTGTAACTTGTAAAAAATCTATGTAGAAGGAAAATGTTTTGATGCAGTTTTGGAGATAGTTTAATCAACATTCATTTAGAGTGCCACTGTTCTAAATTTGAACTACAGTTTATTAAAAAAGTCGAGTTACGTTGAAACAAGTCCATATTTGCTTTTTTCAAAGAAAAAAATCTAATCAATTTTTAAATAAAAAAATGTTTTAAATGAAAAGAAATGTTTATTTAGTAATTTGTATTGCCTCCCCGTGCATTTATGACAGCTCTCATACGGTTTGGCATAGAATTAATCAATGTCGTTATGACATGTTGAGAAATGTCCCCCCATTCTCCCAAAATTACATTTTTGAGCTCCTCCGTGGTTTGCGGGGCAGGATGATGAGCTCGAACACGCCTCTTCAGCTCATCCCATAGATGCTCTTTAAGATTCATATCAGGACTTCGCGCTGGCCATCTCATACAGTGATACCAATGTCATTTAAGTACTGCCTGACGATTCCCGCAGTATGGGCCCTTGCATTATCATGCATTAAAACGAAATCTTGGCCAATAAATCCAGCATATGGCATCACGTGGTTCTCTAAACATTGGCGAATGTATCTATTGCCATCTAGGGGCGGCAGTCGTGGTCCCGTTACTACCTCTAGCTCAGTTTTGCCTTCCATAGAGATTCCTCCCCAGACAGTCCATGATCCTCCACCATAACTCACTCTTTCGTCAATACAACATTGCGCGAAACGCTCGTTCTCTCTTCGGTACACCTTACTCCTTCCGTCATTACCGTATAGCATTATCTTGGACTCATCTGTGAAGAGAACCTGGCTCCATTGATGTCGAGTCCAATGTAGATGTTCGCGCGCAAACTCTAAACGGGCTATTCGGTGTGCTCGTGTCAATTTGGGTCCATTGGCTGGCTTATGGGGCTTTAAACCACGTTCCTTGAGTCGCCTTCTAACGGTCCAAGCACTTACAGCCACTCCGTGAAAGTCCCTGAGCTGTTCTTGTATTTAAACAGAGGTAAGGCATCGATTGCGTAAGCTGGTAGTGACAATGTATTGATCTTGTCTCGCCGTTGTCACCCGGTAACGAGGTCCTCCTGTTCGCCGAACGAAGCCGCCAGTCTCCAGGTATCGATGGTACACTCTTTGGACAGCGGAACGACTTATGAGAAGTTGTGAACTCACATCTCGCTGACTTAGCCCAGATTGAAGAAGTGCTACAGCTTGCGCGGCTACTCTAGGTGAAGTATCCATAATTTTATAGCCAAAAGCGATTCAAATTAAAGAAAAAAACTAAACTAAACTTTGGTTAACAAAAATAGCGAAAATTCAAACAAAATCGAAATTGAATTGCTTCAAAAGTAACTTTCTACAGCCATTATTTTTTTCAAATCAGTGACCAAGCTCGGCTTTTGTTCATTATTTTAAAATCTTAAATTCAAATTTGGAAGAATACATACGGAAAAGACGATGAAATATGCCAGCATTAAAAATGCATAAAAACTTTTTTGTTATATTGCATATATTTTGTGTAATGGGCTTTTAGGCCCGGGAATGTAATGTGGCTCGATTCAAGTGTCCGGAAGTGTATTATAACTATAGAGGTACAAAAGCAATACCTAAATATAAAGGGCGTTTAGCATATGGACCGACACAATTTTTTTAGGGATTAGGGAGGTCATTAGCTACCATCTACCTAGAAACCCTTCGTTCCAAATGTCACGGTGGATTACATAATAATCCTTACTAATATTATAAATTGGAAAGTGAGTTTGTTTGTTTGTTCCGCTTTCACGCCGTAACTTCTAAACCGATCGCTTTAATTTTTTGCAGACGTAAAGTTAGAAGTCCGGATTAAATAATAGGGTAATTTTTATCCCGGAACAATTTGATATTCCCGAGGGAAAACAAAAGTATTGGTATAGATGGCGCTGTGTGTATTCGTATATGTCACATTGGCTACTTTTATCCGTTTGAGACGCGAGCGAATTATATATAAGTAGGTACACTTCAAAATCTAATACATATAAATAGGTACATCTTTGTTTTAAAAAATGGTTTTAACTTTTCTTACAAGCTTCCTAAGTTTAATTTCTCATTCCCACGTCGTAATTTTTTAAATTTCTTAATTAATTATAAAAAACCTAAAAGCCATTTTGAACTAAGTTTATTTCTAAAAAGTTCCTTAGTTAATCTTAATATCCCTTCTTTTATTTTCAACAACAGTAGGCAGGTACTTACTAACAGGGACATTTTGTCCCATTTGTTGTACATTAAAGTTGAATTAAGTACTTTCTAACACTTGTTATCGAATTTATGTCATGACTACCTAATAAAAATCTAACGACCTACAATCAACTGTCTATTTCCGAACTTATACTGAACAACACAAAATGAATCAAACAGAAGAGCTTTTGTTTGTAACGAGACAAACCAGACGTGAAATGATTTAGATTGTGGGTATTTCTAGAGTTCTAATAATACGTAGGTACGTGTTTATCGAAAGTATGGCCAGGCGCGTTACCTACCTTATATAAATCTTTTTGTTTATTGCTTCCAAATTAATACATATAAGTAAAGTAGTATGTAACTTATACATTACACGTATCTAATTTTGCAATTGTTGAGTCGTGAGTCGTGTAGACTAGTAGCAAGTAATTGTTATTAAAAAAATAGAATTAGGCATACCTAGGTAATTAGTCATGGCATGTAAAGTGTTTACAATCATGATTACATGTCGAACTGATCAGCAACTCAGCCAGGCAGGTGGCTAGGAAGCCGGGGCTTAGGACGGAAACGGAACCACATAGCTATGAAAAAATGTATGAACTTATTTCAGTAATGACGTGGACGAATAGTTTCTTGAGTTTGTTGGTACGAGTACAACGTGGACACGAGCACACTGCGCATGCGCACTCGTGCTAATTAACGTACATTGCGTGTCTAAAGCATCACATGTAGCACTCACTTCCTGCATACATTAGCCGTAGTAGTACCGGCTCGAACTCTCCACAGGACTTAATTTTTCCAGTACCTACTCGGTTTGTTTCAATGGGGTTTGTAAAGCATTGTAGAATACATATGAATACACAATTACTATTCGGTTCTCACTAGAGGTGTCAGGAGTTATATGTAAGCAATCGCGTCTTTATTACCGTGTTTCCGGCGCAACTGCAGCCAATAAATATTAGAAGGCAGCAGTCTTGTTTAGTAGGTACAAAACACCAAATTCATAGTTTAGCTAGTACAGGCTTAGGTACGATGTTTGTAAATAACAGGGAGTTTAACTAAAACAAGTTACTAAAAATACGACATTTAATTATTAGATACTTATACATATAAATAAATTCCATTAAATTACATTACTCGAAAAAGCTTTCCATATGAATTATACGGTTGTAAAAATGACAAATTTCGCAATGGAGAATTATGATGTTGTATAACGACTGAGCATTGGATTGTGGTACATGGGAAATGATTAATTCATTTATACAGACATACGGGCCTACAACAGAGCTATCGACATCGCAGCAACATTACAACAGGCAGGGTAGTGACGAGTATAGTTCACGAGACTTATTGTAACTTACTTTATTACTTATGTTCTACAGAGTAGTTTTACCGACGAAACTAAATGTAGCTTAAAATTACGATACATAGGTACGAGTGGGCACACGCGGACCTAGGTGTACCTCAATAAATAATGTTTAAATTATTGTAAGTACTACTTTAATATGTACATGGTCAGTTGTATCATAGGTATACGTACTACTTATAGATATATAAACTAGATGTGTTCAGGGACTACCGTTCTTTTACAATCCTGTACTTGTGCACTCTTATCATGTAAGGGGAGTCGGTAGCCGGGGCGCGCTTGGCGGGCCCGGGCCGGAGCGGCGCGGGCACCGTATGGTACGTGTAGCCGCCCTGCGCCGTGGGCCGCGCGTACAGCACGGTCGGCTCCTCAGCTGCGCTGCTGCTGCTTGCCGTCGCCACGTATAGCGGCGGCGACGGGCTCAGCTGGTTAGCCGCGGGCGCGTACCTGTCGTACGGCGGTGGCTCGTAGGCTTCGACTTCGTACGAGGCGTCGTGGTATGGGGCACGCGAGTACATTGGCTGGTGCCGCGAGGACGCTGTGAGCCCGCGCTCACGCCCCTGCAGCGGCGCCGGGCTGAGCACGCGCAGTACGGGCACGGGTGCGTGCAGTGGCACGGCCGCGAAGTAGTACGGCTCGAAGTCACGCGAATACTCGTCCATGTACATGCCGTAGCGACTGCGTCGATGCAGTGCCTGCCCGAACGGCTCGCCCAGCGCCACAGCGCATGCGCAAAGCACCACCAGTTGCGTCTGAAAGTTTAATCTCGATCAATATCACGCTCCATTCAATACCTCTATCTTCCACAGTACTGGACCTCCATCTCATAATCTCTGTCCATTATTTAGTTGTTAAGCGACGGAACTGTCGGTGATATTAAATTGTAGTACAATAAGTAGTGGAAAAGCTCTACACTGTAGGTACACCGGAAACCACGATTAGGAAACTGTAACAATAAGTTTGGTGCTAGCTATCAAGAAAGACTCACGCGTGCGTCCATGTTGGATGCGAGGTACGAACTCGACTGACTAGCGGCGCCTGCGCACACTGTACTTCAGTTTCAGCGGACGTAGTATTGCGTGCGCCGCTGCGTGTAGTTCCACCACTTCGCTTCCTGGCTGAAGCTGTCCGCCGGCACTCACAGTCTCACCACGCGTGCCGTGCGCGTGCCGGCCGCGGGACGTCACTCCGACCTGATAGCTGCGTGATATTGATGCTACGGAGAGAAGAATGTAAGGGATGGGCGTGCTCTAACTACATAGCTACAAATCATACAGGCATGATGACAGCCTTAGGTATATCCCTTGGTTCTAATTCCAGGAAGTAAACATCAACCACAATACTGGCCAACTTTAAATAATAAATGAAAGACAACAAACCTTGTTATACATATATTTCTTTCCTTCGTTATTGTATTACGAAGCGCTGATTAACTTAAAGCCTAGGCTAAAAAATCGTCTACAACTACCTCTAGTGAAAGGGCTGATTAATGTCTTCGAAATAAAAGTTCATATGTATGTATGTATGTATGTATGTATGTATGTATGTATGGCAATAGGCTCACCCCCTATCACATGTGTGTGTTACAGGTGTTACATTGTACAGTGGCATGAAGTGCAAGTGCCGTAACGTGCACCTCTGCCTACCCCTTCGGGGATAAAAGGCGTGATGTTATGATGTTATGTTTGTTAAATAAAAGTTCGTAAAAATATAATAATTATTTTTATTGTTATTGTAAATTATAAAACTGTTTAAAACTAAAAGTTCGGTGGAACGGAATTGTATGTCCCTTGCTTTCGTATTGCCTCATGTTTAGTGGGGGCTCCGCTCACCAGGCAAGAGTCAGGCGGGCGGGCGCCGGCGGCAGCACGTAGCGCGCCACGTGCGGCACTGACACCACCCTGCTCACCGTCACCACCTGCCGCACGGAACACAATGTTACTCCAACTGCCGCGTGTTGTGGGCTACAAAACATTAAACATAGACATATCATATTACTCGCGGCACGGCCACGAGTCTGCTGACGGAGACTACAGCCGGGGCGCGCACGAGGGCCGCCGACGAGTAGCGCGGCGCGGAGTACAGCACAGTGCTGTACCGGACACTCGGCGCCGCTGCAGCCAGCGCGCTCACGGCCAGTATTACTATGATCACCTGGAAACATTCAAGAAGGTTTTTGCTACGTAAATGTGCCCTTGGAATGTTACTTTACGAAATTAGCTGTTGTATGGATTTGCTAAACTTAAAATTTGTACATAACATCACGCCTTTTGTCACCAAAGGGGGAGGCAGAGGTGCACATTACGGCACTTAATGCCATTGCACAATGTAACACCCACTTTTCACTATTTATGTTATGAGTCCCATGTAATAGGGGTGAGCCTATTGCCGGGGCTAGGTACTTAAATGTATGTATTTTATTTATTGCCAATGTCCTCGAGAATTTACAATGTTACAAGTGAATGTGACAAATGATCATACATTGTGTATCAGATGTTAACGTTAGCAGATTACAGCAGTGATACTCACGCTGGTTCTCATGGCGGTACGTCGGCGGGGCCTGGGCGGATGGTGCACTATAGTGGTCGGCGGCGGCGGCGCTTGTTATATACAGGGCGCACTGTGGTATGTTACAACATTTAACTAAAGCCCTGGCTTTGTTGCGACAACTCAGGTTTACAATTAAATTGATGTTCAACAGGTGACGCCGCCGCTATCCGTGTGAATTACTGATGCGGCGTATGTCGGTCGCGGCGGGCTGTTGTTATTCTGGTCATCTGGTGCGCTCGCGCCCGCGTCTTGCTCGCGTCCTCTGTGGCGCGTATCACCCAGTACCCTCAGTAAGTAAATATTTCAACTGCCTACGATGTAATACAAATGTTTCATATTAGTCGTCTTTCAGCATCATTATCATCAGCCGGGAGATAACAAGATAACACTGCTGACCATTGGCTGCTCCATTATACTACCGAACGACCACCGGAACGATCCCTTGCATACGAAGTATACAATATACATAAAGACTCACGGTACAGTACTGTCAATATTCAGTTCAGTATTACAGTAGGAAGTCCCCTACGTCTGTCGCCGTCCACGACACTCGCTACCTGAAATTTTACGTGGAAGTAGAACGATTCGAGTGAATGTATGTTTCGTTTACCCACTTTCTTACAAACTTTTAAGGTATGTAGATTTGATTCCTCGTGTCTGTGCTTGGAGTTATTAGAAATAGATGTAACGAAGGTAAACATTTTTTTATTCACATTATAATGTAACATAACGCATAGCAAGAATACTTAATTGCTGCTACTTGGAAATTATTTTATACTCTAAAGAACCTTTCAGTTACAATTCGAATAACTGTTGGTTGCTATCTGTTGGTTTCCCAAATGTATAAATGAAAAATAACCTAATTTATTTACCCTACTATTACTACCAGAACCCCGTACTTTATGGACAGCAATAGCCTCGGTGACACATGTCACTAGTTAATGAAAGTATGAAGAAATGCCTTGTTAGTTTATGTATGACTTGATTGTAGGTGTGTGCACTGAGTGACAATGCTAGACCCAATTACCGAGTTGTAGTGATTCGTGAAGACATTGATTGGTTACGTGGCGGCATGTGGAAGTAGGAAACGTTGCGGGCGCCCGTTAATTAGCAGCCAGACAGCGCGGCACCGAGCTCTAGTGCACACGGCTGCGCGGCGCGTAATGGACACTGGCGACACCGCCACTGGGTCCTATTGCTATGTGCAGGGTTTAAAGTAGCATGGCGATTAATATAAAGGGAGCTAATTTCGGTCGCTCATAATATAGCTCCTGTTGTGTAATTTCAATCATTACGCAAGCCATATCTCCTATGTTCCGCTTTCGCTGCTGAATTGCGCCTTGTTCTTTCTTTTTTAAGTGGAGAAAATCATCGAATGACTTCTCCCGCCTGGGTGAGGCGGGAGGGAGTGGCAGACTCTTACTGACTAAAAACCACCCCGTTCCTACTCCTGCACTTCGAGCTAGAGCTTCGGTAACCCGTTAGGTTCTCCGCGACTGCGAATCGGCAGCTGAATAACGTTTGAGTACAGCTTTTGTTTTTGATTAGCTACGCTGTTGCTGGTCCCGTGACGTGAGATTTGTCTTACGCACAATATCATAATAATGGGCTTGTTGCTGTACTGAACCAGAGCGCAGTGACCTTGTGAAACATCGCAGTGATATCACGCCGACTCAGTACATCGTGTAGTGTGCTGTGCTCTGAGGCCTTACTACGAATTTCTTTTACGTTTAAAATAATCGTAACGAGTACGCGTTCAGCGCTGTGATTGGCCGGCTCCAATGAACCAACCAATCAGAGCGCCGGACGAGATTTCGTTTCGATTACTTTAAACATATAACAATCTCGTACTAAGGCCTCAGAGTGTACGACGTGTGTGCCGGGCGCCGGGCGCCGGGCGCCGGGCGCCGGCCGTGGGGAGGTGCTGTCGGCGTCGTTATTGATGGCGCACGGAACACTGCCGAATACTTATTATTTATGACTTCACTAGTGATTTACTATTGAATCAGTAAACATTGCTCTACTGCCTTCGTGAAACAGTATCACCTACAATTGTTCAATTGTTAGCATGTTATTTTATTTCTCTCGTGTAATATTGGAGGCGAGCTATACACCGGCCGGCTACAACCACTATTGGTAATTTATCATTGGTAATTTAACATACGTATCTCTATTTACTCAAATCATTTAAGTAAATAGATACGTATGTTGTGGTATGTGGTGGCGTAAGCATGAAGGTGCGCCACGAGCCGGGCAGGTCTTAATTTTTGCGAGTTATACATAACTATAATGCATATAATGTTACACTAGTTTTTTTTCCGTGAGTAACACCACTAATAAAACCAAAAGTAATTCAATAATTTTCAAGAGCAATTTCTTGTGTGGAGCAACGTTTAAAAGAAACAAAATTCAAATTCTCAAAGTTATAGTCTAACTAAGGCTTATTGCCCAAGCCACAACGCGTCACTTGGCAAATGCATGCAACCTACAAATAATAAGAAGCAGAGTTTTTATGAGTAGTCAGTGACAACGTTGCCACTCCGTGGACACAGTTTTTTTTTTAAAGTTTGCCCCACACTTGGGTTTTTCTCCTGTGTCGTGGGTGCGTTTACAAACATACAATATCACATACACATGACACCCAGACCCGGAAAAAAATCTGTGGATCATATAAAGAGTTGTTCCGTGCAAGAATCGAACCCGCGACACGTTGCGCGGCAGCCAGTTGCCCAGCCACCGCGCCAACCGTGCAGTGTCAACCGTGCCAACCGTGTTTGTTTCTACGCAAGATGTTCTAGTGTAATGTGCGGTTGTGTGGACAATGGGCTAACAGTTCTTGTCAGCTCTAAGTTATAGCACTTAGAGGCTGTTGAAGTGTGATGTGTATATATGTTGTATGTGCGCAACACATGCACAGAGCGCCTGCGCACATGCTGCGCACAGTGCGCGTCATGTACACTGTATAGTATTGCTCGCGTGATACGAGAAGGAGGTACTTCTGTTGCATGTGTATACCACTTTTGTGTTTTTATTAGGTACCTATATCTTCTTGGAGATTAACTATCAACATTCACATGTTAAACGAATACATTTTTTAACAAACTTACGAGAAAAAAAAAGTTCTAGTAAAAATTAAAGTAAAAATTTTATTGAAATTGCTTTTTTTTTCTTAAACGCGATCATAAATTATAATTAGAAATTATTAACATTTAAAAACGTATATATACATATTTTAAACTTGACTAATTAATGTATTTAAGAAAACATAACGCAATTAATATATTCAAATAATTAGTTTCTTTAATAATTCTCATTCCACTACGTGACCACAGAAACAAGAATAGCTCGAGGCATACAGTAGGCGCTGCGCTAACATCAGTTTTTTTATGGCATAAGCCAGTATACGAGCAGACGGATCACCTGATGGTAAGCAATCGGCGTCGCCCATGGACACCCGGAACACCAGAGGCGTAACAAGTGCGTTACCGGCTTTTTGGGAATGAGGAGTTTGAGGATCGTTGGGGAATCATGAATTGGAGAGATTGGGGAAGGGGAGGGTAATTGGGCCTCCGGTAACCTCACTCACAAGACGAAACACATGAACATGAACAAGGCAGGCCGTGGTATCACTCCAGTCGAGCCGGCCCATTCGTGCCGAAGCATGGTTCTCCCACTCTTAGCTTATGTTTATGTAGGTACTAAAATTGTATTATTATTTATATGCATACACAAGAATGTATGTAAACGAAATAAATGCCATAGTTTTCATGGGAGAGTTAGTTTTGGTATGATTGATCAACTCGTCCGGAGTGATACTCATACCACAAACGCTCACATTGCGTTTGCGACGCACTTGTGATTCACGTGCAATACACGCACTGCTTTGGTGTTGCGGGTGACGCTGATTATTATCTATGGTCTATACCACGTTACCTCCCTTCTCATTTGCCTCCCTATCCCTAAAATAAATTTTATAACATTGGTATTTTTTGGATATTAACAGAACCAATGATACAGTTAGGGAAGGATAATTAAATAATTTCTGTGATCCTACTCCAAACAATAATGTATACAAAATATCTACAAAATATCTACAACTTATACTAATTTCCAGATATTCATTATTAAAGTCCTAAGGCCTATAATTCCATGATTAGATCAGTACCATGTCATCATAATAGATGTTACAAACTTTCACCTCAATCGATAACCGGGAAGTTGATCTCATTATATTAGCAAGATTTAATTACAGACAAGCAAGACAAATAAGGAACATGTTAAACTTAACACAACTAATTACTAATTTCATTAAATAAATATATGGAATTTTACGACTGATTAATCTTTTTAACATTTTTCAAACCTATATATACATATATACATATAGTACGGAGATGAGAAGTAGCAGCCAGAAGCTACCTTGTCACTGCGAGAAAAGCCTAAAGCTAGTGGTTTTAGTATTAAAGACCAATATAATTGTTCCAATTCATGTCCAATAAATAATTGACAGGTCGAAGATTTACAATACCAAGTAACTAGCTAACCGCCAACCAACTGACTGATCCTACCCATGGACTTACGCGCTCGCGGTAAGGTATCTAAGGCAAGCGCACATTCTATGAGTCTTACTGACTAATATCGGAATTGAACACAAATGTTTCTTTTATGTCTGACATAAATTGTTACTAGGTACCTATTTTTATATTTGTACTAGCTCACCCGGCAAACTTCGTAAACGTTTGTTTTCTTACATTTTAAGCCTTCCCAGGACATCCACGAACATTTCCAGACCAAAATACGCCAAATTGTTTCAGCCGTTCTCGAGTCCGAGCGACACTAACGAACAGAAATTCATTTTTATTTAGATAGATAGATTAAGTTTTATAATTTACGAGTACTATACCTATCTGTAGTCGCCAGTTTGGGATCTCTTATTGTTTCAACTTATTGCACTTTTAATCATTGTTCACATCTTTTTCTTTGGAAATTGTACCATTATTTAATGAATATTCAACTAATAAAAAAAAAACATTTATTTCATAAATAGCCTTTTGTAACGTCGTTGACTAGAGAGTTCACCACCAGCCGCCGCTGGAGTAGCCGCCGCCGTAACCGCCGGAGTGTCCACCGTTGTAGCCGCCAGAGTATCCACCA